GTGAACAGAATCCTAGTGCCTTCTTCTATTATGTCCGCGTTCACTGACCCATGTGTTTCAACTACGGCCCCATTTACACTTTTTAGTTTAACCTTCTCTCAGGGTTCGAACTCTGTACTACCCAATAACTTTTTGCTTTTTAATATGGAAACGTCTGCTCCGGTGTCCAATAAAAAGTACAGTTCCTTATCCCTGCTTATGTTTAACTCAATTTTCACAAAATCACATGTACTTGAATGTATACAGCCTATTGAACGAAACTGACTGTCGAACAGCTGTCCTCCGATAGTCGGCTCCTATTTCCCGATTTCTCCTGGTAGTTGTTTTTCCTGTTAAATTTTCCTACTGCCCTCCGGCAATCCTTTGCATAATGTCCTCTGACATTGCACTTGAAACAAACTACGTCCTTACTTCTTTCGAACCTTTTTACCTTAACTTGGTTAACACGAATATCTTTTTTTATAAAACATCTGTTACTGGGATGCCCTAGTTTCCCACAGTTCCCACATTTTGGTGGAGGTACTGTATCCCCTCTATACCTCTTCTGCTTAGAGACAATCACACTTTCCTCCTCAAGGGCTGTTTCTGCAATTTCATCAAAATTTTCATTGTTGCGACTGCGGACTATTGTTTGTATCCTGTCCGAGTACAACCCTTGAACAAAACAAATGTTACTTAATCTATCTGACAGGCTTAATATTCCTGCCCTTTCTTCTCCGTCACAGTTCAACAATGCGGATTCTCTAAACTTTGATCCTAGTGTCTGGATTTTCTGAATCCACTCTGACACGTTTTGTGTTATATTCTGTTTTGCCCTAAACAGCTGATTTGCATGGAAATCTAACGTTCTCTTCTCTACGTAAGTATTTCTCAGAAATTCTTTTAGTTCCACCCAGTTTTCTAAATTTCTGTGAGCAGTCGCAGTCCTGGGTTCCCCGCTAATTCTTGTCAGTACAAACTGATACAATCTATCCTCATGATTAGGATTTATACACCTGAAAGCTGTGTCGACATGACACAAATGTCAGCACTTCCCATTTATTCCCACTAAATGGTGAAATCAACTTTAGTGCCTCTGTCACACTAATGTACTCTACAAACATGGTGCTTGCTCTATCTACTTCCGCCACCTGTATCTCCAAATTTGTATATTGGGTAGACATGGAAATCTGAGCAAAATCTCACCCTTCAGTAGTTTTCTTCTTTCTGGTCAAGCCCTCCTGCTCGACGCCTTTCACTGCTCTAGGTGCTGCTTCCTGCCACTGGGCTTGTGGAAGTTGCTCTCTGTAGACCGCTTACTGCAGTGTCCTTCTCGAAGACGATATCCGGGCTGGTATACCTTCTTCCTACTGCTTCCTGCTGCTGGGCTCCTGGAAGTTACTCTCTTTAGACCGCTTACTGTAGTGGTCCTTCTCCTTGAAGATGATTTCCAGGCTGATATACCTTCTTCCTACTGTTTCTCGTAAAGAGACCGCCCTAATGTCCCTTGACTCATCTCTCTGCAATTTCTTCTCCACCGCACACTCTACTGACGTGATGTACCTGATTCCAGATACGTGCAAGTTGGCGACAACCCCACACACCTGACACCAGTGTTGTGTACCCGACACGGGAGACACAGCCTATTGAACGAAACTGACTGTCGCACGGCTGTCCTCCGTTAGTCGGCTCCTGTTTCCTGATTTCTCCTGGTAGTTGTTTTTCCTATTAAATTTTCCTAATGCCCTCCTGCAATCCTGCATAATGTCCTCTGACACTGCACTTGAAACAAACTATGTCCTTACTTTGTTCGGACCTTTCTACCTTAACTTGGTTCACACGAATATCTTTCTTGGCAAAACATCTGTTACTGGGATGTCCTAGTTTCCCACAGTTCCCACATTTTGGTGGAGGTACTGTATCCCCTCTATACCTCTTGAACTTAGAGACAATCACACTTTCCTCCTCAAGGGCTGTTTCTGCAATTTAATCAAAATGTTCATTGTTGCGACTGCGGACTACTGTTTGCATCCTGTCCGAGTACAACCCTTGAATAAAACAAAATGTTTCTTAATCTATCTGACAGACTTAATATTCCTGCCCTTTTTTCTCCATCACAGTTCAACAATGCGGAATCCCTAAACTTCGACCCTAGTGTCTGGATTCTCTGAATCCACTCTGACACGTTTTCTGTTTTATTCTGCTTTGCCCTGAACAGCTGAGTTGCATGGAAATCCAAAGTTCTCTTCTCTACGTAAGTATTCCTCAGAAATTCTTTTAGTTCCTCCCAGTTTTCTAAATTTCTGTGGGCAATCGCGGTCCTGGGATCCCCGCTAATTCTCGTCAGTACAAACTGATACAATCTATCTTCATGATTAGGATTTATACACCTGAAAGCTGTGTCGACATGACACAAATGTCAGCACTTCCCATTTATTCCCACTAAATGGTGAAATCAACTTTAGTGCCTCTGTCACACTAATGTACTCTACAAACATGGTGCTTGCTCTATCTACTTCCGCCACCTGTATCTCCAAATTTGTATATTGGGTAGACATGGAAATCTGAGCAAAATCTCACCCTTCAGTAGTTTTCTTCTTTCTGGTCAAGCCCTCCTGCTCAACACCTTTCACTGCTCCGGGTGCTGCTTCCTGCCGCTAGGCTCGAGGAAGTTGCTCTTCCGTAGACCGCTTACTGTAGTGGTCCTTCTCCTTGAAGACGATATCCGGGCTGGTATACCTTCTTCCTACTGCTTCCTGCCGCTGGGCTCGTGGAAGTTACTCTCTGTAGACCGCTTACTGTAGTGGTCCTTCTTGAAGATGATATCCGGGTTGGTATATCTTCTTCCTGAGGTTTCTCGTAAAAGACCATCCTGATGTCCCTCGACTCGTCCCTCTGCAAGTTCTTCTCCACCGTACCCTCCACTGACGTGGTGTACCTGATTCCAATTATGTGCAAGTTGGCGACACCCCACACACCTGACACCAGTGTTGTGTACCAGACACGGGAAAACCATGTAAAGTACTGTGTGGGTTCGATAACGTTGGTCGAGCAGATTTTGGTGATTGTTTATCTGTTGCCGAATGGAATAAGAGCTGCTGAGAGTAGACTCGTACAAAGGCTTTATTACTAACAAATAGTAATAAATACAACAGGTTGCTGCTTAAGGCTTTAGCAGTGGCCGACTCTGACTGAACGAAGTACCGTCGTCAGGACTAAACTTGTAACAGATCAAAAAGCGTTTTGTAATGCTCTTGCTGCTATATATATTGGTCAGCAAGGGCGTATCCCGGGTACAATATGTGTACTTCGTACTCTGTATCGATAGGAATGTTTTAGAATGTTTCAAAGTTTTTGTGAGTCTGTCCTCTGTCTGACACTTGCCTCACTCCCAGACTTTAGCTGATGCTTATTAATTATTTTGAAATGGTTGTGGGGTGACAGTGTCAAAGTGTCACCGTTTCCTTGAAAAACAACTTAATTATCAGACCGGGATAGCATCGGTGAAAGTCCGAGTTACAGAACAGTGTTCACATACAAGGCTTAAATTTCATATGCTGCAACTAGCAACTATTCTGATATAACAATATTGTATTACCTACCATAATAACATCTTATAAACTACTATGCATATACAACACTTCAAGCAGTTCTGACAGAACTTCCTGCAGAACACACAATATGCAGGGACACTAAATTGAGTGTCAGGTAGTATGTATGACCCAACCACACTACTGCCAATGATACCGGCTCACACATTAATGCTCCAGCAACCTGATGGCCCCACTCGCATCTTACATGGGGATTCTGCTATGCCCACAAGTGGCTGTTATGACTGTTGAAGACACCTTCATGTATGAATGCTGCTTTTTCTGACCATAAAATATGCTCCAAAGAGCCCAGATCACATCTGTATTCCCATGAAAGACACAGTATTTGAAACAATGATGATAATCATAAGGTTTGAACCCTGGAACCAATAAGTAGTTGTATGGATACAGGTCTTCATCCTGGAAGTTTAAATGGAAAGTGCGATGTTCTGACACCCAACTCTCGGGTAATTCCTCATGTACTACAACATGGATTCTGTCCCACCATATTCAGAACCATCTCTTTGAGTGCTGACATTCAGCAAGTGCGCACTCAACCCCTATGCAATGGTGGTGTTGGTAGGATATTATCAGTTTCCCTCATCCTCTCATCCATCTGGCAAAATGCATTACCGTCTGGACAGCAGCATGCTGGATACATTTCGCATAAGCCTTGACTGCAGTGTAGGCCCAGTTACCACATGGCACCAAGGATCAAATTCATATCAATATTCATGCAACGTAAAGTTAGTTTTACTTACCCTTTCTTGCCAGTTTTACAGACACAGGATAACTGCATAGAATAACAGTACGACTACTGTGAGCTGAGTGCTGATCACCGTCAACTGTGGTATAGCAGGAAGCTATCTTCATACATATTTCCTGTGCTGTACATCATGTCCTATGGCCCTTGGTCCTCCCAAAGCGTAATTAATGCATTTGTCCTATTTGATATTTACAAAAAAATTCCTTCTAGAGGATTCTTCCATTTACATTTTTGTTTTGTTTTGAGGTTTTGTACCCACTCCCATTGTTATTATGCACCATTTCCCATGCCCTGTACATACAAATTATAATAAATAATATGAAAATAGGTGAGATTTCAGCCTCTCGCAGCAATGAGTTTGAAGACAACTGTGTTCTGGGATGTTTCATTGTGTAGTCTGGTAGAAGTTTACCAGTATATCAGAGGTGCTTGCTGCCTCCATCATCAGGGCATGCTGATGATGGAGGCAGCAAGAACCTCTGAAATACTGGTAAACTTTTAAGAGACTATATAGCAGAAGACAATCTTTTTCAATACACATACCCTGAACGATACATAAGACAATTAGGTGTACTGTGAAAATTCCAGTGCCCTACCACGTGTAAATGGTTAAGAAACACATACATACATTCAACATCTAGATATGTAAATGAAGATGCAACTACCTTGTCTTACTCTGTGTACGGGTGAACCTAGCAGAAAACTGTCGCCTGTTCTTGGTTATGGCTGAAGGGTCATGAGGCAGTGGACAGTCACGAAGGCTGTGATTCCCTAGACAATTGAAACAAGATGAACGACTCGATCCTTCATTTTTGCTAGTCTTACCAATGTCATCTTTGGTTTGTTGAAGAATTTCATTGAACTTCTGCAAAATATTATGAACAAAATATTTCAGCATAAAAATTCATTACATCTGTTATGGTTTTATAAAAAGCAACTTTTATGTTTTATAACACTGGATATGACCTCTTGAGGTTGAAACACGTTTGGCACTAAGTATCTTTTCAAAGTGTAAACAGTTTTGTTTGTATGCATGATTTTATATATTTAGATAACACTGCAAGGTATGCAAGGTTTTAAGATTTTATCTCTTGTGTTTAAATTAAATACAGTAAACTCCCAATTAGCCATGTGAGGGTTATCTGTGAATGCCTTCTTCTTTTACATATAGGCAGAAACTTGTAAATTAGGCTTCTGACTCTCTGCACCCACTTTAGATGGAGGGGGGTTGGTTTTGGGAGGGCCTACAAAAAATATGATCAAACAATACCTTTTATTTTGGTGGTTTACAATCAGTACAGAGGTGGGGTGGAGAAGTTTGTTCTAAAGGTCATGGTGGTGGGAAAAGGGATAACCAGAGGATACGCAATTCACGAAAGGAAGCTATTTTACAAAATAATGTCAGCCGTGAAAAAAAGTAAAGCAGTTGAAGTTCTGTATATGCACCAACTAATATTATATTGGATTAACGATGTTTTTATAATTATTCATGCACCTTCTCTGCTTCATTAGCGAGGATAAACGGGAGTTTACTGTAAATCTGTTAAGAAAAAATCAAGTAAGCTGCACACTACATTACATATTACAAAGCTATTTTTCTGTCTATCCAACTTAAATTCTTAACATAAAATTGAAAGATCAACTCTTTTATCATTGAATCACAAATAATTTTCTGGTGTTTCATCACGGCAATTTTGAAAAATTATAATATAATGAATCGGAACAGTTACTTACCAATATGATATTTCATATTCAGGTGAATATAACTCTCAACACAATATTAAAAGCCTGCACATTTTAAACTTAGTATTTTTACAAGATTTAAGCTTGCAAGTTGAAAAAAACAAACTAAATAAATAACTTGATACAGCTTACTGCTTTCAATTTGCAAAGTAATATTAAAAGAAGAAAATATGATATTCTACTAAAACAATGTCAATCTCTATAAACAAACACTGTTCATTAGATAATGCATAAGACAATATCTAGAATATTTTAAGGTTTTTAATTTCTTTCATAGTTTAAAACGTTTCATCATTTTTGACACAGATTAAATCTTTTAAAAGTTTTCAATTACTAGGAACAGTAAAAGATGCTGTCAAGACCTATTTTGAGGTATTTTCCAAAAGACATATAGTAGACTGAAGTTCTGTTATAAAGGCAATTAATGCTTCTGGAATTTTTATCACATTTCATCATCACCAATATTGTATCCCAAACTGGGATAGGCTGGTAGGACGAGCAGATTCCTTGGGAGACAGTTCAGGGTTTGTGATGTACTGCAGCTGAAAGCTGACTTCAATATTACAAGATAATTTTTTTCTGGTCCGATGACAAATCTAGAGGACATAATTTGCTGGTCTGCCTAAGCATGGGCAGTACCGTCTTCTAACGAGTCAAGTTTGTTCTGACATGGAACCTCGCAAGACTCAAGATCAAGGTACAATGAACAAGAGTTATCTGTGGTTTTATACAAGTCTGCCAATGAAGATTTCTGTCTTCTGGATTGTTGCGCTGTGTAGTCTGGTCGATGTTTACCAACGTTTCAGAGGTCATACTGCCTCCGTCATCATCGCCCTGATGACAGAGGCAGTATGACCTCTGAAACGTTGGTAAACATTGACCAGACTACACAGTGCAACAACCCAGAAGACAGAAATCTTCATATTCACCGCTGTGAAAACCTCAAATCTTACAAGTCTGGCAATACTTACCTTTGATATGTTTCCAAAAAAATAGGAACCTGATGTAAACCCACAAGAGACTTATGATCATGAATGATCTGAAGCTTTCATGGTGACTAAGTGTAATAAATTCTTCTGTGGCTATCAGCCGTGTAAGGTGGCTTATTAAAGAAAACACTGTTTCGAGAACCATCTTCATCCTCAACCTCTGAGGACGAGGATGGTTCTCAAAATGTTGGTGATTTCTTCATTAAGCCACCTTACACTGCTGGTAGCCACAGAATAATTTATTATGTCTTATGATCATATCCCAAATACAAAGGAGTGACAACCACTAAACCACTGCATTCCAAAACACTGTTCACTGATACAAATGAATATGAGCAGATAATCTGAACAAACAAATTTGAGAATATTTAACTGTAAAACTATTACACTTTAGGATCTTAAATTCTGTTAACAAAATATTAATGCACTTACATGATTGTATGCTGGTACATCTAAATTGTCTTTTAGAGTAGGATGTGTATCAACCTTAAACAGACTTGAACTGTCAACACTATCATGGTCTTGGGAATCCTCTCCATCTTCCTCTGCCTCCCACACATCAAGTTCCAAGTCTGATGTGTCTTCTTCATTGTCTGGGTCATTTTTTGCAATGAGGTCCTTTAAAAATGTCTTTATAGAAGCTTTATATTTTCTGCAGAATATAGAATATTTTCTTATTAATAAACTCTAAATATTCTATTATATTACAACTTCAACGAAACCAATACCACTTTGTTCACTATTTATATAAGTTCTAAAGTTCCAGAAAAATCCACATTACACAAATGCATATTTATAAATAGATCAACTTCAGTGAAAATGGTAAATACAGAAGCAATCACTGGTTATATCTGCATATTTGCATACTGTATATAACAATGAAATGGGCCGGTGTAGCTCAGTCAGTATAGTGACCGGCTACAAACTGGATGACCGGGGTTCGATCCCTGACGAGGGCAGAGGATTTTTCTTCTAGCCTCTGTGTCCAGATCAGTTCTAGGGCCCACCCAGCCTCCTATCCAACGAGTACCAGGGTACTTCCCCAGGGGTAAAGCGCAGTCAGGGCTTGATGCTGACCATTCACCCCCTTCTACTGCTGAGGTCAAGAATGAGTAGGAGCTATACCCCCTCTCCCCCAAGCACTTACATGGCATATAGTGGAACAGCTTTACTTTACTTTTTATATAACAATGAAAAGTATTTGTACAGAAAAGACTAAGTCAATCGCTATGTATCTGTGTGTACATAAAAAAGTATGAACTACATAAAGTGTTCAAGTAGCAAGGGTTTTATCAGCATATCCAACAAAGTTTAGTATTTCCAGTTATTATAGCTTACTGAGGAGTTGAAATCTGTCCTTGATCAGAAAATTGTGGGTGAGAAGAGAACAGCAACAAAATTCAGTCAGTTCAAAGTACATTGTGATAAATTAATGACATGATTTTAGGAAGGTAAGAAACTATGTTATTGTGCAGCCAATATTCCAAGTTTCTCATTAGGGTTTTACACTCGCCTTTCCATGACTAGTAGCAGTCAGACTGTTCAACCAGCAAACGACAGCTTAACTCTTTCAAAAGTGTACAGTAAGAAAGTCATTCTTTAATGTAGCAGTGTCTTCCAAGATTATCAGCCACATCAATATGGAGTAGAAATCTCATGTTTCAGAATGTATTGATCATCAGGGACTATAAGTTAAGTGGCACAAACTGGTCAATACATACACATGTAGACCTGTCAGAAGGCAGTCTTCATTGTCCAGTAATTAGCCAATAGAAGAACAGCAGGTCACAGCCCACATAGACAATGCTCAGAGTTACTTAACCTGGATATATCTGTGAGTGACAATAAGCAATTACCTGTGTTGCGGTGACCACTGTGAATATTTCTTAACCTGAATGTGGAAAGAATATTGATTGTTGAACCACTCTAGCAACTAGGTTCCATAACCAGTAAAGTGAATCTGTCAGCTTTGTTGACTTACTCAGTGGCCCTGCTGATGGAGGAAACAGTTTCCAACCTGTTGGATTTTTATTTCAGATTGATACAGCTGATAGTCAAAGAATACTTCAATGTATGTAGTTACCATGAAGACTATTCACATGGGCCGACCAAGTTATGGGGCCCTATGTAACATGCTAGCATTTTATGGTGATGTGTTAAACTGCCCATATACGGTGGCCATACAATGCTTTCCAAAGGGCAAGCTATTTCAAGTCGGCCTATGACTTTACTTTATGTGGAGAATGGCAACGATACTTAACGATACTTTAAGTTTTTAATTGTGAGCTATCCCAAGTCCGAAAAAGTTTGGATTAACTTTATGATGCATTTTCATGTAAGAATATTGCGAATCAACGTAACTGTATTCTATTTAATTCTCAATAGTTGTGCCAAATCAATTTGAAAATAAATGAAAAATTTAGAATCCATTAACCAGGCACTAACCTTGCTACGTCTTGATTTCTGAAAGAGACGCTAAAAATTGGTCTATTTTCATTTGTGGATGATCGTAATTTTGTCTGCTGGTCGTATTTAATATCGACCTTCCCAACTGAAAATGGGCTATTTACTTGCAAAGATCTGTGATCAGAATCTTCGTCGCTCCCAATTAAAAATGACGGCGGAAGTGAAGTCTTCTTAGTTGCACTCCCGATTACAAACCTGTCATTGCTACACGAATCAAGGCTTTCTTCGTTGTTTGATGTACTTGCACTCACAGAACTGGAATCATGATTGGTATTATCATCTAACACAATGTTGCTCATATTCACGCTTCAATGAAGTGGCACTAAAACATATGCAAAATTAGATACAACAACACATTTCAGACATTTTAACCTGACTAGCGCTATACCACCGACAATACCAACATCGGTTTGTTGTGTTGAACACGTATGCCAACCTTCTTACTAATCGGCGAATCTTTGTAATCTTTATGTCAAACAACACATAGGAAATATCGTTTTTCTCCATGGCACTTTGGAAATGTGAATCCTTCTAATATGTCAAAAGTTTCCCTTTATACGACTCTTTGTTATAGCCAACTTGCTCGCTATAGCGACATAACCATGGTTATGATCAAGTGTGTTGTGTTTACCGTGATTTTTCCTGTTGTTTCTGGTATCTTTGTTTGGACGTACCTAATAAAGTTAACATAATATAATTTAAATAATTGTAGAATAGAAATGGTATCAACTTCGTATAATAAAAGATTGTTTTTTAAACTGTTCAAAATAATAATATTAGTCAACAAAACTGACAGATAACCGCCACATCGGTACTTTCAGATTTGAGTTTATAACTGTAATATATATACAACTGTTCTAATAATCTGCTAGCTAGTTTTGAACCCATTAGGGCTTCTTGAATCAGATACTATATTAAGGGCCACAGTTTGATGTAGTCCCGATGAAAATACAAATCTATGTCCTACTGATAAATAAATAGTCTGTTTACAGTGTTTTGCTTGCTAGTAAAAGGCTTAATATTTTAACTTCAGACAAAGTCAAAATAAATAGTTTACTGCATATGTATATAAACTGAAGATATTCCAACGCACATTCGAAAAGTAAACACATTAAATTAGTTTCTAATTTTTAAAGATCTGTAAATTGAATTAGTTTATAGATCTTTGAGCAGTTTCCACTGTAGTTACCCCACAGCTTCCAAGAACCACTGTTTGAGCACACTCCACGTTTTCATTTGTGGATGTGGTTGGGCATGCTTACCTGTCTGTATCAACACTATATCTGCTGCATTTAAAGTAAATCATACACATTTCTTTGTGGCAAATTGTTTAACTCATACTTGGCAGCCAATTGCTGATGGATTTCTGCCCCTTTTATTCCTTCAGGCACAGACATTACTACATGTTGCCTGTCCTTGGTGCAAACCTCTAGTGGAACAGTCATCTTTATAACATGCGCTCTCAACATAAATGGGCTACAACTGAACCAATTGTAGCATGTCACCGACTTACCATGCACTACAGCATGACCAGACCTAGGCATTGTTGCTAATCATACAATGAAAATATTCCAACACTAACTTTACCTTTTCTATCTCAATATTTTGTCACCATGTACCATTAAACACATGATACACTGCCCCACAACATGATACAATACATGGGACAGATGACGGGTAAAATAGGGATTGTAAAAAACATAGTTTTAAAAGAATTTTGCAACGTATATACTGTATGATGCACAAACCTTGAATATTATTTTACAATTACTATCACAATTTTTGCACCATTAGTGCTACTGCGTTTGAGCAGGCATTAAATGCCATTCTACTCTTGCCACATTCATAATTACATACAGATAAAATTCTTCTGGTTTATCTTCAAAATGTCAAAAATTTATACAAGACCATGAGTAGCATGCAATACATAATCAAGGGAAGTTTTAATCTCTTATATGTGATATGTAACAGTACCATCCTGTGGACGTGCATAAATATCAGCAGGGGACACTGGGTAGTCACTTCACCTTGAAGATGGAGACAGTAAAAACTCATAAATGTTGGTAATACAACCTACATACATCTACATGATGCCATCACCCAGTAACAGGATATACAGTAATGTAAATATCAACTACTACTATTAATAATAAATAAAATGCTGACAGTGAAGGAATAAAGCCATCCCACTACACGCCATGAAGGGAGTTTGGGGGGAGCAGAGGTATAGCTCCTACTCTTTCTTGACCTCAGCACTAGATGGGGGTGAGTGGTCGGCATCACGCCCCGGGTACCCGTTGGATAGGAGACTAGGTGGGCCCCAGAGCTGGTCTGGACGCAGAGACTAGAGGAAAAATCCTCTGCCCCCGTCAGGGATCAAACCCGTGACCAGCTCGTAGCTAGTCACTATACTGACTGAGCTACCCCAGCTCATCAGTGAAGGAATAAGGTTAAGGCAAAAAGACTGAGCTACTGGAAGTTGGAAGATGCTACTCCAGCTTCAGCTGATCCACCATAAATCCCATAACAAAATTAAGATCTTAGAAAAAGGAGATCACTTGTTTTAACAGGCACTTAACTGTTTTAATTTAGATTTTTACATACAAATGGAAGAACATTACATTTCCTTTACATTACTACATTATATATACATGTCATTCGGCAAGGGTAAGAAGGAATTTTAATGTAGCTGTGTTATAATAAACTTTGTCCTGTAATCTTGATTCTTAATTTTTGGACTCTGTCCATCGTCTGACATTTTAAAAACACATTTTGAACTGGATGTGTTTTTCCTCCAGAACCCTAATGCAGAAGAAATTCTAAATACTACCTAATCCACCATATCTAACACCAGCACCTCTATGGCCCAAAAATACAGCCGCAAAATGATGTCATAGTACTCATCTGAGTCGTATCATGACACACATGTAGTTCCGATGTTGGTACGTTGTCCATTGCTTGCTGTTAGCATTTTCCAACAAGCCATACAAAGTAGATTCCCACCTTCCTTACACCTGGGGATGAAGCTGTTATTAAAAAGTGTTTTTAGAATACTAGACAATTGACAAGGTCCAGAAACTCAGTAATCCAGATTGTAGTACACCATCACATAATCCTTTAAAATTGATTTGCCCTATAATCTCTTTATACATATCATGTTGGCTGCACAGTTTCACAGCAGAGTAACACAGTTTTCTAAGTTTATGGCTTGAAGCTGAAATTATCCAAAAGGCACAATGATAGAGTAGGATTACAAGATTATTAAAGGACTCAGTAGCAGTACCTCAAAAGAATGAAAACAATACACACAGATAAAGATAAAACATGACATATCCCAGAAGACACTGGAAAGAACAACTATGAAATTGAACAACCAAATCCTGAACGCACAAGATAGGATAACACAGTTACTGTGGTCAGACAAAATAGTATTGTTGGTGTGACAACACAAATCATATGACTGGGTGAACTACATCATACAGGTGCACTCTGGAAGCCCAGTTCATGCCCCTCTCAGCATTCAAAACAGGGTTTTGGAATGACCTTTCCTAAGTCTTTGAGCTAGTATTCATAAAGACAACCTAGGCATATTTCCTGTCTTCCTTATCTATTACATTTCAAAATGGACTGCCATTTCCTGTGGCCTGTCAATAAATATGTGGACATTTATAGGACTAAAAAGAAGGCATACACACCATCAAATCTTTCTGTAACAAAATTAAGGACCTTGGCAAGAAACATGATATATTTATATGATAGGGCCAGTGGCAGACTTTTAAGAATATCTTGAGAAACCTCTAGGTTATATAAAAAACAGTAAATTTCTTGAATAACTATAGAAGATCTATAATTTAGGTGATGAAGTCCACATGACAAGAACAAATAACACTGATTTAAATGGAATATACTTTCATCAGTCATGCTTAAATGTAATGTCATTGTTAAAACCAATTAGTCCATCCATAAGCATGAAACAACTTCAGAGAAGAGACAGCAATTTTTATTAAATTTTATGAGAAATTGTTCAGCCATTACAATTCCTATTTAGATTGAACATCTTTAACTACCACTTCACATAGGATCATAAATGCATACCCTTATCACAGTCATTATACACAGAAATAAATCCTTCAATTGTTTCAGCAAAAGACTAATGAAAAAAACCAGTCTTGACAGATCAGACTGCATTGAAATCAGATGTTTTGTTCTGTTCATCAAGTGCTCTTTTAAAGCATACACTAAACAAGTTAACTAACTTCACTGAGCAGAGTCCTAATTGAGAAGCTAGCCAAGATATTTCCCACCTTTCATGGGACCTGAAGGTTCATTACTGTGTTCATATGAGCCCACATTAAACTATTTATGTAGATTACACTTAATTTTCTTTTAGTGTGTAAAACAACAGTGAAGCCTGAGTACTGATAAGTTTATCCAGTCTTTGTTTCTCACTGTAATTGTATCACGTAATTTGAAGAGCATGCACGTTAGCATGTAATTTGTAATTCTCTCTGCCATTTGTGCCTGTTAAGTATGCACTGTATACTTTCACAATCCTGTTTAATGTACCTTTTACTTCATATACCTAAAAGACATTTCCTTTGTACATGATGTAACCTTCTTGTGTTTCTTTGATGATGATGTGGTTTACCCAATCAGATTTTATCCTTCTGCCAGTTTTAGTTGACCACAAGAAAAAAAAGGATGAAATTACAGCACCTAACAGTTCTTACTTATCATTGATCGATATTGTACTGTTTGTCCTCCATGTTACAACATAATATTAGGTTGATTCTGGATAGCCCCAATAATCTCATCATAATCAAATTCCGCATTCAACACTTTCAGGTACCAGTATACAAAATCTATCACAAACTACTGGTAATATGCACTATAGACATGGAAAACTTATGTTACATCAATCTCATCTGTCAGCAAGCTGACATAACAACGTATTTTTCCCCCAGGACAACTGAGAATTCCATGTTGACACGTGGTCTCAATTTTAAAACACCTTTTTGATACTTTCTTTAATTAAAAATTTGAGACACTAATTATATGTTCACTGAATCTAACTTATATATGAACCAATTTTTTTCTGTCATGGATAACTTACACCTTCCACTTTTCAGTTGGTCTGTTGAATATATTATTAACAAGGTAAAAACCGAAGGTGAAACATAGGAACCATATCTCAGTGTATACAGTCTTATATAAAGCATATTAAGCAACCATAATCTACCAGAAAATAAGTAACTCTGTAGAACATTTAATATAAAATGTCTGAGCTGTACGAATCAGTCTTGGTGTATTGTATCATGCAATATGGTTCTCACAGTATTTGTTAACCAGTTTTGGGAAATAAGATCTTCCCAGAACAAACCTTGCTGCCGCATATTAACACTCAGGTTGCATTCCTTCATAACATTTATTTGAAGTCTTTTATGCAACCAGCTGAAACACAAGTCCATTGATTAGAAGTCTACTGGGATATCCTTCCACATGACTTTTGAAACTTTATAACACACAAACAGCTACACAATTTGGGTGTTTGAGAAGAGTCCCATGCCATTAGCTCGCCCCTCTGCATCTCCTGCCTCTATCTGTTCTTTAAGCAGCTCCAATTCACGTATACCTGAAACTGTCACTTCATATTTGTGTGCGACCAGTGAACGATAAAAATGCACGGCAAATGCTAAGAAGATGATGAGGACAGGGATCAGAACAATGCATGCAGACCATGCTGCGTAGGTTGAGAAGTCATAAAATTTTACCCAACACAGAATTGCTATTTCACATAAGAAAAGAAGCAATCCCAGCAGTGTTGAAAATGCCCAAGCAGTCTCAATATACCAATGCAGCCGTTCATGTGGAGATTCGTGTACAAGGCTGATGGAATGGAGATTGCAAACGGCATCAATATTTGGCAAGATGCAGGTACTGATCATGAGAGCCAACATATGCACTGCCACCAGTAGAGTTGTGCAGATTGCAAATGCAATCAACATCTCCTGAGGTACATTTGACTCTTCACTAAGCTGTACTTCAACCATAGCCACCTATGGGCAAAGACATTTGTTGTTAATAAAAACCAAGTATACAGAAAATTAAAGTCTAATGCAACTCAATTTTACTTTATAATTTCAAATATGTTTGATAATTAAGTCACCATCAGAGGTTTAATTGTATTATTTGTAAGCTACCACAGATTATAAAACATAAAACCAAGTTAAACAAGTATGTATGCCATTTAAAAGTTATTGCCAGCATTGGTTTTCATAACAAGGTGCTCTTAAGTTTTATTTATTGATAAAGTGTGGAACTCCACATGTCCTTTTGACAAGGGCAAATCATCCTGAATCAAAACAGGTTGTGTAACATACATATACATACACACAAGAATTTCATTATAATCACCAGTGTGAACAATGTACATACTGTTTAACGTGAGCCTGATAGCTCAGTCAGTATAGTGATTGGCTACAGGCTGGGCAATAGGGATTTGATCTCCAACAGGGACAAAGAATTTTCTACTAGCCTCTCTGTTCTGACTGGCTCTGGGGCACACCCATCCTCCTGGCAAATGGGTACCAGGGACCTTTCCCAGGGGTAATGCATGACTGGGCATGTTGCTGACCACTAACCCCCCTTCTGGTACAAAGGTTGAGAATGAGTAGAAGCTATACCTCCTCTCCCCTAAGAGCCAACATTGGCATGTAATGGGATGTCTTTACTTTACATACTGTTTAACATTGTTTCATATTTTATAATTTATGGTAGCTTAAAAAAGTAAAGCTGTCTTGCTATATGCCATGTAGGCACTTGCAGGGAAGAAACATATAACTCATACTCATTCTTAACCTTAGCACTAGATAGGGTTAGTGGTTAGTGTCATGCTCCGGCCGTACTTTACCCCTGGAAAGGACGCCGGTACTGATTGGACAGGAGGCTGGGTGGGCTCCAAAGCTGGTCTGGATGCATTAATTGGAGGAAAAATCATCTGCCCCTGTTGGGGATCAAACTCCAGTCATCCACTCTATAGTCAGTCACTATACTGACTGAGCTACCCTGGATCCCAATTTATGGTAGTTTACAAATATTAATAAAACCCCACAACATGTCAGAACTGGTTGGGTTAAAAAATAGTATAATTCAGTAGCATTACATGGTGGTTTTATATAATGTAAACGTAAGTGCAAAAGTATGGAATGTAACGCAAAACCATGATTAAATACTCTATCGGAGTGGGCAAATTAACTCCTTGCTACAGACAACACAGTAAATGGCAGCAAATCAACAGAGAATCAGAAACACAGATTACTCACATGACAGATCAGAACTTCCTCAGAAAGTACAGCCCCGAATATCCAACTGATGAAAATCCACCATTGTGCTTTTCGAAGGAATACCTTTTTAATGTAGTGAATGATTTTCACATATTTGGTAAGATAGGTAGTTACTCAAAAATATTGAGGAAAATGTATGAATATAAAAATTTCCTTTCAACTTTAAGCCTATCGTAAATCAAGTACAAGCATGTTTGTGAATGACTAGCAAAAAGTTAAAGATAATGCAGAATGTGTGATTGTCATGGTGGCACACCACAGGATTTTATCCAATGACCATCTGTTTACAAGATCGACATGCCAACTTACAGGCTGAAGTGCACATCTTTGTTCAATTATAAACTTACATTACTTAAATATAACATCAACAACACAAGATTTGTGAGACTTGAAATAAAAGTAAAGAAAAGTATGCATATGAGATCTGCCCTAAATTTCTTGTTAGCAATTAACTTCTGATAAGACAATATTTCAAAATCCACTTTTTCCTTAAAACAATATAATATCTTAGTAGATATAAGATTTTTCTGTAGAATTTTTCTTCAGAATTCTTTAATTAATGTTTATAATCATCAATTACAGAAGTGAGACCATGAAAGCAAAAACTTAATCATACAACTAAAATGTCATTATTATGCAATGGCCATATTATGATGCTAGTCTGTGATCATAATTCCAGCCAATGTACTTCACGTTTGTGAAGTAAAGGAAGTTTAAATGTACTGACGAAGAGGAGTTGCAGAAAATTAAAGAAGAGTAACTGAGTAACCTGGACCCCATGACATAAATTGTCTTAAGAAATTTATGTATGAAATCAGCTCAAATCACGATGATGTAACGAAAGTAATAAGTGTGGTTTTCCCAGTTAATGTTCTTTAAAATCTGGCTACCATAATGGTGGTGTAGTAACAGGGGGTTAGAAGTAGAATTGCACAAATCAGTCTGAACCTTAAAGTTATTCTTAGCTTAGTGCTTGTGTCAATTGCACCTAAGAGAAACAATGAATACAGATTTCATTGTTTTGGTTATTTTATTTGCGGTATATTTAATTACAATATCAGCTCATCCAATGTAGCATCATCGTACAATAGGATTAATGAAAAGTGAATTGGAAAGGACACAGAATTTAACAGTCATGGCTTAATGTAAGGCACAATCACAGAAATCGCCTGGAGGGACTGAGGTAAACCTCGGTCAGGACAGCCTGCCAGCAGGCCAAACTTTGACCATGTAACCTCCTAATTATGAAGCAGGAGTACCAACCAACCAATCACAATGTTCAATACTCCATCAAATACATACAACACAGTTTCACATAAATCTTCATTGAACTCTACAAATGTGTTTTCTGGGCTCTTTAAAGTCTGTCTGACATTTAGTACCTGTGCAAATGAGACTGATGGAATAGTTCCACCACTCTTATTTAACTTTGTGGTCAGCGCAGACAGCAGACATCAACTGCACATCACAGCTAATGCACAATACAGTTCGCCATGCATACACTATCATACTGTTAAACCGTTAACTCTGGAGTTAAATTCCAGTCAGCAGTCCTATCACATGTCATACAGGTTTCAAATCCCCTATTCCCATAGACTGAAGACTAAGAGAGATACTTTAGAGAGAAGAGACACTGTAAAAACATATTATGTCCAATGAGTGGGTCTCTACTTCTAGAAGTACTCCCTTTTCCATCTTACAGAATAGACATCCAAGCACAAGAATATCTTACCATTGCAAAACCAGAAAGAAGAGCAGAAGTTTTACTAGATGCCTTCAATTTTGCTCTGCTCAGTTGTAGCTTCCTCCAAGAAAGGTAGCCAGGAGTATGGAGACCATCACCTGACTGTGACATCTTCTCCTGAAAGGTTACAATCATGAATGAACACTATAGCAATGAGCCGACACCAACATAATTTTCAGTGTTAGTACAAAAAGAATTAAGACCTACCCATGAAAGTAAACACGGCCTTCCAGAGATGGTCTTCAATCAGATGAATTGACACTGTACCCCTCTAATAAGAAATTAATTATGACAATATGTAATGTAGGATTTAGAATTGTTGCACAAACACAGCAAATGTACATAAATAGCTAAAGAACAGTTTACCAACAGCACAATTAAAACTATTCACATATCTTTAGCACATTAAATGTTGTTCTGATTAAACATAGATGAGAAATAACAAACCTCTATGCAATAATGTTCAAGCCACAATCTAATATGATAGCATTCAAACATTTAAAACTAAAACACTACACACTTAAAAAGTGCAAAACAAAAAAATCTAGGCATGTTACCAATACAAAAATCTACTTGATAAAACACTGCATAATTTGTCAGATTACATGCATAAATAAAATGAGTGACTAAAATTCAGAATTTACATCCATGAAAGAAAAAAAATGGGCAGACCTGTGTTGGTATTCTTCCCCAGCGACAGTCGTTTCCACTATACTGCAAAGCAGTAGTGCAGGCTGTGCGATGTCCTGAATTACTTGACAACTCGGACATGGGAAATCAAATGATCCAAATCACTCCTACCCCAAATAACCCACAGAAACCTGCAAAATAAAAGTATAATGTATTAAAACAAAAGTACTGTTTCATATTGACAATATGAAAATAGCTTACAAACATGCATCTTGCTAGTTTCATTGACAAAGATGTCTCAAAGAAAACAGTATGCAATGGACTTTACATTCAAAAGGACTTTCCAGAATATTATCTCCTCATGATAGCAAAGTACTAGTGCAATATCACTGTTATATTATGCTACAGGTTAGCAGGAAAGAATCATATCTGCTGAATCCAGAACAGTAAAAAATATGCCACTTTTCTCAACATGGGTCTCTTGCATGCTTAAATAAAACATCAGCATAAAGTGTGTAGTAATAATAACTATTAATTATGAAGTCTCACTATGATTCTATCATACTGTGACAGGATTTTTATCACAAAAGTCCAAGACATACACAAAAAAGTCTTCTGTTTTCATGTTTGGAGGAAGATGTTGAATTGTATTTCAATACACACACTAGCAGTAGCAACTAAGAAAAACAATGAACTGCATTTCAGCTGAATATAGCAAATGTCACAGAAAATTTGTAAAATTAAAGAAGGGTCCTCATTACTACTCTACATCAACTAGATACCTTTCATAAATGATTTTGATGCATGCAGACGAATCTTTAAGGTTAGCAGTGAGGGTTATACCAAAATGAATAGCATGTTATGCAAATTTTTAAATGAGGTCTGGTGTGTAACAGGGACAGAAGGTGTAATTTTCTCCAAATTTCATAAAGGCACAGGGCAATGAAATTCTTCCATTATTTCTGTGATCAAAGAAAAAATAATGAAGGCTTCACTGAAAGTACTCCACATGCGGTATATATATATCTGTAGTTTTGGACGTGGACAAGAAGTTATTCTGACATCTGATTTTTATACACAAATGTTTTTAATTGTCGTAATATCGGTTGTTTATTCTCTACTCGCTGCTGAAGGATTTCACTTACTTTACGTGGCCTAATTGAGTTGAATGAAGAAGTAATGGCAGTCACTTGAAATATCACTTTCCTCTCTGTTCTATAAAATCCACATAAATGAATTTAAACTCAAATAGTTACTAAATGTATGTGGCACTGCGCACTATTACCTTATCCTTCGTTAAAAAACATACATACATAATTTTGAAAAATAATTCGCAATGTCATGTGCCACAGCAACTCTAAAACACACATCAAACACAAAGGTTTGGGGCAAATGTCACTTCCCTCCTACGCTGAATTAATTTCTAGAAACATTACCTACTGACAATTTTTCCTCGCACCACAGAACACTACAAGCAACAAGGCGCTGCTTTTACAACCAACCACCTGCAATTATGTCACTCTCCATACGATCACGGCCAGGCCGATGCAAATATCTGTTCAGCATCATAAAAATATACAATACAATTTCAAGCGAAAAAAAAGAAAGACAACGTATATATAGAGAATATTCTGCTGCAAAGTACTTTGCAGCAGAATATTCTCTGTATAAAAATGAAAGTATCATTTTAATTGACGGAATTTACATACCACTTCAGTGTAACAAAGCAAAGCTGTTCTCCTGCAGTTCAAGCGAGCTTAAATCGTTAGAAATTGCTACTACTATGCATTATATTTTAAAAACCATTTTAATCTGATAAATATAACTTCAGTTTTATGAAGGTATGCTATCTTCTGAAGAATTAACTTCTTAGTTCAGAGTAGTCCCAGGATATTCCGATGTTCAAAAAAGATCCCATCCGTTACGGAACCAGAAACGACATACAAACACCATCAAATAAATTACCCTGTCTCGAACTAATTCTATCCAGACCACATCCTCATTCATTTTCATAAGAATCATTTTAATATTGTCCTTTCATTTACATTGCGGTATTGTTGAAACATCGACATTTTTACATTATTTTGTGTTTCTCCCTTGTTAGTTTCATGCTTTCCGCATTTGAAACTCAGTGTCTAATCAGATCCTTTCTTTTTCGTTAATTACTGATCTTGAGGATTATTTCATTTAGTACTTATAAGGTTTTCAAAGCGTACAATGACATGATTCTGGACACAAAATCGGGACGTTTCATGCATTATTTATTTTAAATTATTTAGCAATGTAATGGGCCGTGACGACTGGTGTTGAATTTCCATCGGTCTTATTAGCTAATGTGCATTTCCTTCTCACCACTAAAAGGAATTGTTCTCACATTAGTTTACATAGGGTTGTACCCGTTTTCTTTCCTGTTTATCTCAAATCCAGAGACGTTTCTACGGCAACTGTCTTAGACATTTGAAACAGATTTTATTCCCCAATGTTCCACTAATATAACTTCCCTGTTCGGTCGTAGCGATACCGTACATCAGTAAGAACAAAGTAGTAGCAATACTGTGTTAGCTCTTATGCTAGATTTGTTTATGCTAGTTTGAGTTATATTATCTTATTTGCTTCAAGCCAGTAAAAAAATGATCATTAAATAGTGGAACCAATCCTTGCCTAACATAAAGAAGAATGATTTCACAAAATGTTGTGAAAATATCACAGGTGTCCATACAATCTTAAGGGAAGGCAATGCGCAAGAACCATGACTTCGATTCGTCACCGCGACCAGGCCGACTCTCGGGACCACCCAGATCCATGTTTAATGGACACAGTGGTTTTATCCTCGGAGGTAAAGCGGCCGAGGCGTGGAGTTACCTACCGCTCACTTCCATCTAGTGACTATATTAACAGTGCCTAGAGATATTTCCTCCACTCCCACAAACATGTGAATGGTGTGCTGCTTAGTAAGTCAAAAGTTTCGTTAATGAAATTAATCGTACGCAAAGTACTCTCTTACGTTTATCATAATTTTTGGATGTACAGCAGCCGTGTCGACACTGCAGCCCTTCCCTGTAAATATTTACTCTTGCAAAATCATAACGTTGTCAGATGCATTTTAACGCGAGCAGCGCCGGTCTTACAACTGCCGCTAAGGCAATTTTGATCTTAGGAGGTAAATACAAGACACGTACTAAACTTTGTGCCTTAAAGCAAAGGTCGAGCGGTTCTAGCCTAAATGTAATAAATGCGAGTGAGTTATAATAATATTTTATCTACATATATGAGATGCATAAACAAATTTCTATCATACACAGAAACTTTTATCCTAGAATAAAGTTGATAATCTGGTACAAGCTCCCTCTAAACCAACAACTGTCTGTCTCTGATGCTACTCATGTTGTCTGGGTTTCCATTCTTAAAACCAAAGTATTTCAACTTCTAATTGCATGTCATCATAATTATAACAAGCTAGGGAAATGTACTCCGGATTGTAGTACCCCATGCGTTCTTTTCAACGTGCATTTAGAAATATTAAATCTGTCACACCCCACATATATTTTTCCAAATCAGTATTTCGTAACCACAGCAGATTAGCTACAGTCGTTTGTCTCACACGCCCCACTTAACCACATAAAAACTCAACTCCATGGAACCTTACCTAGCCTAACCTACTCTGCTTAATGCAGCAGCAGACACACTTGCTGTATAGTCGGCGCAGTAGTTTTTGGCCGGTGGAGTAGCTGGCGGACGGGCCTACTCTGAGTACCTGAGGTGGCACGGTCAGTGTATTTCTTTTGTTTGGGCGTTCAGTCCGATAAGCTCCTCGGTGCAGTCAGCATTATACTATCTCACAAGTGACTCGCTCCTAGCCTTCCCCTTGAAAATTCCACCGGCCAAAAACTACTGCGCCGACTATACATACCTGCATCATTCTATTTTCCCTTCTCTCATGTCCTCTACTTTTCTTCCAACATGCTCCAAACTGCCCCCACCAAAATGAAATATCACTTTACACTCGTCCACTGCTGTATAATTTCACACTTTGCACACAAACCTGCCCAGAAAGCAACGTTAACATGCACCAATCATTTTCAACTTTTCCGATATGTTACACATAAACCTGTACTTTTCCGCAACCTACTTTTTCAGTGATCCCCAGTTATCGAAAACCAAAACATAACCGGATTCTCAACCTTTGTCTTGAGATACATTAAAATCTTAATCACGTAACAAAACGTTTTTTCCATCGTTACCACAGTACCATGAGACATAGATCCGACAATGGCCATCAGATTTCAGCACTTGACCGGCCTACCTTCGGTTCCACCTCACAAATATCGTCGTGCGCCGTTTTATTTTTAATGATCGTAGGACATTCAAAAGTACGATTTTCAGATCGTGCCGAATAACACAACCCCCGTGCGAAATTCCATTCAAATCCGTTTGTTGGTTTTCGAATACAGTCGACTGGGCAGACTGACAGACATTACCAGCCCATTTTGCGTTCTCCCCATGCACTTCGTGCAAAGCACGCATAAAAATGGAAAGCCAGCAAAGCAGGCGCTGTTCACGATGTTGCCAAGTGTCAAGGGCACACACATAAGTACGTGACAGACTGTAGCAGTGCAACGCCGCAACTTAGTGGCGCTGCCTCCCTCGGAGCGGCCATTAGTCTTCATACGTGAAGGTTGGTATAGTGACTACTTTATATTTATGCAACTGGTATAGCGGGCAAGTGTTATCTGTGCGCAAACCTGACAAAGATCTGAATTTGTATTTTTGGCACAACATATAAAAGCAGGTAACTTGATACTCGTCTAAAAAATACAATCGCATTTGCACGTCAAGTCATGTACAATTGCTTGCAACCTATCAATTTTAATAGTCGCAGGCTTTATTTGATGCAAGCCTAACATTATAAAGCACAATAATCCATTATTTCGAAGTAATATGTAATAGAATTTAACGTTCTACAGAACACCTGTTGGAAATGGGCAAAATGAATCTTTACCGAAATCTGATTCATTCATTCCTTGCGGGTAAATTTAGTGACCAGTTCGCCTATCATGTTCGTGGACAAGTTATGTTGGACCCCGTTTTTGTGTACAGGTTACGTCATTTGAAATTCTGTATAATGATAGTACAGTATTAGCCAATGAAGTTATGAAAATTATAACAGGTAAAATGGGTAACAAAGTCTACCTGTAATTATCTTAGTTTCCAAACTATTATATTTTTATATTCAGCACACAGTATTCATTTGAGTCTAGATAGTGTCAACAAGAGCTACTGAAGCGTCCACTGAAGTTATGCACCCAAGGAGAGGACCACCTACACGGGTCTGTGAGGAAAGCGAATGAAGACTGACAAACCCGCAGACCGACTGGCGAACGACAGGTCTACCTAAGTGATTAGTTCATTTCGACCAGCTCTTACGCTGTTGTAAGAATGTCATGAGTGAGCTCAAATGAGGTACGAATGCGTAATAACTGTAAATGTTGGAAACCAACTGCGTGGCGTAAGACCCGTGACATCTAACATAAATCTTTCTAAAGGAATTATACAGGCTGAGAACTGCGAGCGGAAAAGATTTCTATGAAATCAAAGAAAACCTGAAGTGGGAGCAATCCAGCTGGAATACCTGGACGGAGATACGAAGCCAATATTGAAATAAGTCCTTATGGAACAGAGTGTGATGGTGTAGACTAAATGCAACTGGCTAGTGACAGGGGGCCATTGGCGGGATTTTGTGAACATGGTAATAAACTTTCTGGTTACATTAAAGACGGGCAATTTAATCATCTGAACTATTATCACCTTCTCAAAGGATCCTGCTGCAAGTTTCTTTCTTTTTAGTCGTAACAGTATGCAATATACAGTCCACGACTGTAATCTTGAGACTTGCAAGGAATGCAGGAAGTCCGTAGCGTTAAAGGCAGACGCCATCTTTCCTCCTTCCTCCTTCACCCCACTTCCTCACCCCGCAAGTCTCAAGATTACAGTCGTGGACTGTAGTTTAATGGCTAATTGACAAACTAACTGTACATACCGACACGATTATTAGCAAAGTTCTTCCTATGTAAGGACGTGGAAAGTCTGTATACCAACTGACTGTTTAGACTATGCTTTTGACAAAATTGCGACAACTTCCAAATTAAAGTTGCCACCACGATATGGCGCGTCGTCAGGTCGCAACTGCCGCCGACAAGGGGTGGTCCTCAAGTTTCGAAGTCTGACAGGGACCAAGAACCTCTTTCACCGTTAACACCGATATGTTACGAAATGTTACTCACGGCCTCGGATTGTTTGGCAATTTACGTGGACGTGTGGAACGGATTTATATGACTTGGGAGAGGAGACTAACAGACGTCTTGTGAACACTGTAAAAACCATTCTGAGGGATTTATTGACCAACTGAACGACTATCAGCTTCTCAA